ATCTTCAACTTGTTGATCTAGATGAAATTTGTTGATACTCTCCAAATTATCCCCATCCATTTTCTGTTTCTTGATATTTTCAAGATCATCAGCCAAAACTAATCCACTTCTTCTCAACGCATCCCATAAATCATCGTCCGAACTATCATTGAACGGATCCAAGTTGCTTCTGATCGTGCCTTTGAATAACACAGGATCTTGTGGAATGATTGATAACTTGCTTCTCAAATCTTTTAATCCTAACTTGGAGATATCAATGTCATCAATGAGTATTCTGCCACCAGCGAGCTCTGATAATCTGTACAACGCAGTCATTATCGACGATTTACCAGCACCCGTTCTACCACAAATACCAATCTTTTCGTTTGCTTCAATATCAAAAGATATATTGTGTAACACTAGTGGTAATTCTGGTCGATAGGCTAAATCAACATTTTCAAATCTAATTTTTCCACTCAATGGCCATTCTGGTGGTGGTGTATTTTCAGTAATATGATAAGGTGCTTCTTGTGGTAATTCAAAAGCATAGTGATACAATCTCTCCGTCGAGTTCATATCATTTTCGACCTGAGTCATTGCCCTAATTAATAATGATAATAATCCAACAATTTGCAAAACATTGGTAATCAATAAACCAGACGATGATGCATCTATATTAAATTGTCTAGTGACACATAACAACGTAATTAGCAACGCAAATGCCGTTGCAGTCATATCAAGATGAATAGCTAGCCATCTCTGATTGGAAACTGTAATATAGTATGCTTCATTCATTCCATCAATAAGTTTAACATTAGTATCAATAAATCTTTCTACACAATGATATGCTTTGATTGTATCCATTCCACTTAGACTTTCATTAAAGTTATTGTAAACCAATGATCTATTCAATGCCTCTAATCTCTTAACTTCTCTAGCTGATGCTTGGTAAAATGAGGAAGCTAAAACATAGATAAAAACCAAGAATGGCACTGCAATAGCAAACCAAGGCAAATAAATAATACAAAGAATAAGAACACCACAAACTGCTGAAAGAGGAAAAATAAATAATCTTAATTGATCGCCAAGTTCATTATCTAATGCATCTGTATCTTTGGTGAATCTGTTGAGGATTCTACCTATAGGAGTAACATCAATCAATGCCATTGGTGCATGTAACACTTTTTCAACAGCCATAACATTTAGTTTTCTAGAAGCTGTGTTGGTTATGTAAAGCAACATGGTGAAAAATGAAATACTTAAAATAACATATAATATAGCAAACATAACATAAATTCCAATATAAAAATTTCCAGATCTATCAAACTTCTGTGAAGTCCAAAATGACAACCAAGTGTTGGTAAACAAGTTACAAAACGTTGCTGTTACACAAAGGACAAACAATAATGGAGCTGCAAATACCCCAAACATCCCAGATCCAATTTTGATATAGTTTTTATACACTTTGAACGAAATTTTGTTAACAGCTCTTTCTTCTTTTTCAACAAGATGGCCATCTGCACTTCTATTTTGAAAATTGACCTTTTTGTTTTCTTGATCCTCTTGATCATCTTTTGTAACATCTGTTCTTGTGCGCTTTAGAAGTATTTCTCTTTCTTTTCTCTCGAATTCTTCAAAGTCTAAAGATTCAGTATCCTCATCTTTTTCTTCTTCTTTTTCTTTCATTTTTTGCTTTTCAAGTTCAGTGGTATAAGTCATTAAATCAACAAATTGAGGACATTTACTTTTAACTTCATCAACTGTTCCACAAACTAAACCGCCTTTTCCATCTAAGAAAATCAATCTGTCCGCATAATCAATTAAAGACAATTGATGGGTGGCTAATATTCTCGTTTTATCTTTTAATAAATCCATCAAACAGTTTGTCATTATGTGTTTTCCAACTCTTGCATCAACAGCACTAAGAACGTCATCCATTAGTATAATGTTTTTGTCATTGTAAACAGCTCTGGCAAGATTGATTCTAGCCTTTTGACCACCAGACAAGGTGATACCTCTTTCACCAATTTCAGTTAAATCACCAGCTGGTAATAAATCCAAATCAGATGCAAGAGAACAGGCGTAAATTACTTTTTCGTATCTCTCTTGATCAAACTTTTCGCCAAATAAGATGTTATTCTTAACAGTGGTGTTTTGAACCCATGGATAACCACAAAGCAATAAAGAATCGTTGACTTGTAAAACTCCTTTATTTTTATTCATCATTCCTGCTAAAGCAGACAATAATGAGGACTTTCCGGAGCCGATTAAGCCAGTAATAATGATAAACTCGCCTTTCTTAATGTCCAAGTTAATATCTACCAAACCTGCAAATGAGGATGGATCAACGATTAATTCATCTTCGGTGATATTAGTTTTCAAACGAGTTAGAGTTTTTGATAAATCTTTTTTAAGTTTTAATCTTTCCATTTCACGTTTTTCATTGATTGATATTTCCTTCAATTGTTTTTTAGTCAACTTTGAAGGATCTTGACCCTTTGGTGGGGCATTTTGGTTCTCTTGATCTTCCCTTTCAAAGACTTCCCATTTGAAGGTTGCATTTTTAAGTTGAATAGCCATGTCATCATTTTGGATGAAATTAGCGTTTTTCCTTTCCAGTAATTCAGTCTCATGATCAACTAGTTCTTCAGTGCATGATAAAAATTCGTTAACTCTTTTAACACCGACGATGGCATCCATTGTAGATGCTAAAGCGATTGGTAGCATCATTATTTGCTGGGATAAGGCATTGAATAAAGAAACAGAAGAGAAGATTTTGGCAGGAGTGCCATTATTATCAGTTTTGTAAAGAACAACAAATGCAAGCATGGAGGATAAACTTGGTAAACTAATACCGTAGGCAGCAAAAGTGTTTCTTAAGAATTGCATTTTTAAGATGATATTCATTTCTTTGTTTCTACTGAAGGCAATTTTCTCTTTGTAGGGTTGTTCCCAGGCATAGTATTTGATCATTTTAATTGAGTTTAGGGCTTCTCTAACGGTACCGACTCTTAGATCAGTCCATTTGTTTGCTTGTTTTCTAAAGCCCATTAAGAAGGAGGAACCATAGGAGATTAAAAGAGTGGATACGATGAATAGACCAATACCACTGAGGGAGGCAGGGCCGATGTTGTGAATTAATAAGGCGATACAAATAATGACAGCGATTGGAAAAGTGAAAATAAGAGGTTGGAAGCCAATTGAGAAATCGATTCTAGCTAGATCGGCACCCATTAAAGAGGTGATTTTGCCGGTTGGGAACTTATGTCTTGATTTTGCATCCAATTTAAAGGATTTGTCATATATTGCTTTGGTTAGTACTGCTTTGACCTGTAGACCAACAGTCATGGAGTTGTGGAAGAAATGGTTGATAAGGATACCACAAGTTAAAAGAATGAAGGAACAACCAAAGGCATAACCAATACCTTTACCTACAGGTAAAGAAGGATCGATTGTTTTCATGGAGACAAAATTGATTAACTCTTTGAGCAAGAGAGGAGAAGTAGCAAAGCCAATATCGGATAAAGCCTTAAGAAAACAAGCAGCAAGGTATCTTTTTTTAAAGGTTCTAAATAGAGCATTTGCGACGGTGTATTCAGACCAGATTTGTTGATGAATTTCATCATCGGATAAGTTTGGGTTTGTTTTAAGTAACTTTTCAGTTTTCTTTTTTAAAATGGTGGACAAATTTCTTTGGAAAGTATTGTATAAAGACTGGATTTTCAAGTCGTCTGTTAGTACCCATAAATCTTGATTTTCCAAGGTTCTTTTGTAACCCACTTTCATTATTGGGAACAACCACCAGAAGAAAACGTAATAAAGAGGGTTTGTAATGTTCATTGGGTATAAAGTTTTTTCATCTTCGAGAGGCAAAGGGGGCACTTTTTTAGAAAATAGGAAAGAAAAAAGATGTTTTTGGGGTTTTAGTTCGAGAGATTCTTCTTTATACTGCAGAGAATCAGTATTTAGATCGTCATTAATTTTTTTTTCATTAGTTGAGACAATGTTGGAGTGTGAAGAGTTGTGTTTTTGAGAGGTAGAAGAAGAGATGGAGGAATTTGAGGGAAGAACGTTTGACATTTTTGGAAAGTGAAAAATATTTCTAAAAATGATCAACTGTTCAGGTGTGTATTATTTTTGGAGTGTTATTGGTTGTTTATGAGTATAATATTTGTGTATTTATTATGAATCGTAGTTGAAATGTTAGATTTGTAAGATTGTGGAGATCGGTAATTAATATTATTAAGCAGAGATGAGGAGTGAGAGATTGTTAAACAAATAACCAAACATAATTCAAGTGCAAGCCAAAATTCGGTAATAGATAGAGTAGAATATAAGAATAAAAAATCAGCCAGCTACTCCAACACTCAAACACTCAAACAACAAGTAAACAAGAGCTGAAGCAGAAGAAAAGAAAGGACGTGTGGTTTATATGTTTTGCCCAAAGTGAATCTCTTAAATAGAGATAAAAGAGGTGATAACCTGAAAAATTGGCTAAATAAAAATGAAATAAGAGTTATCTCCGACCTGACGGGTATTTTTTACCGAGTATGGTGAGCGCCCAAACATTAATTCCGAAAGCTATGCGTGTTCCAGCCAGAGTATATCAGAGCACGCCAGCGTACAATGCCGCACGTGATAGCAGACACTGTCATATCAACTAATATCCCATTAGAAAGACGAGCAGCCTGGCTGTGATTGGCCATTCGGCCTTTAGTTACAAGAGTGGATAGAAGTTGTTGCTGCATGTGCTGTTTTGCTGGGGAGTGAAATTGTAAATTCTCAGCAGTTTTACGGGCGGAAAATATCGAGAACAAGCTTACTAATTGCGCACAAGTGCTGCTTGCTGATTGGTGGGACCGGTTTTCCTGGAGATCACACTTCTAGACTCTTAAAAGCCTGTTAATGCCTTCTTTGAATCAAATCTTTTTTGAGTTTGGCAAAAGGTAATTGCGCACACGTGCTGATATTCTTAGAGACTTTGAAACCGGAGAACAGCAGCACCAGACTGTTGTCTGGCGGGATTTAAAACCAGTTAAATGAGCACCAAACAAGCTTTGTTTGGGCTCATGAGCTCATAGTGCGTTCTGGCCGTTGCAGTGGTTCTTCTCTGGGAGCGCTTCTCTTGTTTGTGGAGAACAATAGGCCCAGCCCCAGCTTTGGCAGATCAAGCGTTCGAAACAAACAAAGCAGTGCAGTGCTGAGCTGCTCAAAACGCATCGAGGAGCTACAGCCCTTGTTTCTTCGTCTGAAGTTTGTATGCCATTGATGACTCGACGTTGACGAGCCAGTAGTTTTCTGACTGCGGTGGTCTGTGTTTCTGTAGGTGGTTACTGAATGGCTTGTTTCGCTTTTCTTGTGTTTTATTTACGGTGCTTTGGAGCTTTGGAGCTTTGGGAGCTGCTGCGTCTTTCCTCTGGTTCCGTTTCCACCGCTGCCAACTCCCAAGCTATGCTATTGTTTCCCGTCACCAATCACCTAACCCAGCTGATACTAAGCCAAAGCAGAAGAATACGCATTCTTCTAAATAACAACCACAGACCTGTTTTTCTTGCCATCTTCCTGTCCCCACCCATTCTGCTTAGCCCTACTTAGCCTCCTCACCTCGCAAAGGTCCCACTTGCACATTCCCACCCTTTCCATTGCAGACAATGGGTGCTTTATAAGGCCTGTGTCTCTCTTTCTGCTCCTCCTACCACCTTCCACCATCCGGTGCTGCCTTTTTCTCCCAGACGTGCAAACCAAACCAGCTGTTTTCCCTGCTGCTCCGACAGCCTGGAACAGACTCTTATGGTCCTTAATACCAAATTTCACTGCCGCTTCGCTGCGATTCCAACTGTTTATTTTCCTCACGGATCAATACAACTGTTGTATATAAGTACAGACGATTCTCCATCCAGTATAAATTCACATCACTTGCTCAACACAATCAGTTTTATACTCTCAATCTTGTAACACCACCATCAATTTTCATCTGCATTTCTGCTTTAATTTCCATTTCCATTTCAATTTCAATTTCAATTTCCAGTGTTCTTGAGCCATCCACACACTCATGTATTCCACTCTACTTGGTTCACTTCTCTTGGGCCTTTCACTTGTATCGGCCTGGTCCCCAACCAACTCCTATGCTCCTGGTGAAATAGACTGCCCCTCTTCCAATTACACCTTTGTCAGAGAAGCTACTGCGATTTCCGATGAGGAGGCCTCGTGGTTGGAATCCAGAAACAACATCACCTTTACCAACTTGAAAAACTTCTTCACCTACAGTACAAACTTATCCAACCAATCTGACTTTTCAATTGACGACTTCTTTACAAACCTAAACCAATCAACTATCAAAGTCGGCATCGCCTTTTCTGGTGGTGGTTATCGAGCTATGCTTGCGGGAGCTGGTGAAATATCTGCTCTCGATAACAGAACTGTCAACGCTTTTCAAAATGGTTTGGGTGGTTTACTCCAAACTGCAACCTATCTCTCCGGTTTATCCGGTGGTAATTGGCTAACCGGCACCTTAGTCCTCAACAATTGGACCTCAATTCAAGATTTAATCAACCAAGACGAAGTTTGGGACTTGGAAAACTCAATTATTAACCCAGGAGGCCTTAACATTCTTCAAACCCTCAGCACCTTCAATGAAATATCCAACGATATCAGTGATAAAAGAGATGCAGGCTTTGAGGTATCTTTGACTGACGCGTGGGGCAGAGCTTTATCAAGACAATTCTTCACAAACTACTCAAACTACGGCGATGCCCTAACTTTCTCCACTCTAAGAGATGTTGATGCTTTTAAAAATGCTGAAATGCCCTTTCCCTTTTCCGCTGCAGTCGGAAGAACTCCTGGCTCCAACATCATAAATGAAAACTCAACTTGCTTTGAATTCAATCCCTTTGAAGTCGGTTCCTGGGATCCTAGTTTAAGATCCTTTTATGACTTGAAATATCTTGGTACAAATGTTACCAATGGAAAATTATCAAACAACTCGGAATTCTGCATTGCTGGCTTTGATAACGCCGGTTTTATCATGGGTACTTCCTCCTCTTTGTTTAATCAGTTCATCTTGCAACTAAACACAACAGGCTTGACTGGTGCTTTATACGATGTAATTGAAAGCGTCCTAGATAGCTTGAGTGAAGCTGATAACGATATCGCTGTTTACGACCCAAACCCATTCTACCAATCAACATACGGTTCAAGTCAATCCCTAGCCAACTCCTCAAACTTATATCTCGCTGATGGTGGTGAAGATCTTCAAAACATTCCATTCCAGCCTTTAATTCAACCAGAAAGAGATGTCGATGTCATCTTTGCTTACGATAACAGTGCCGATACCAACGAAAGTTGGCCCAATGGTACCTCCATGGTTTACACCTACGAAAGGCAATTTAGCTCTCAAGGTAATGGTACTGCTTTTCCTCATGTCCCTGATTTCACCTCTTTCAGATCACTAAACTTGACTACAAAACCAGCTTTTTTTGGCTGCAACTCATCAAACTTAACCTCCCTATCAAATATCCCTCCTTTGGTTGTTTATACCGCTAATAGACCCTTTTCATACTGGTCAAATACCTCTACTTTCCAAATGTCCTATGATCAGGATGAAAAACTTGGTATGATCAAAAATGGCTTTGAAGTCGCTTCCAGATTAAACTTGACTTTGGATTCCAATTGGCCAACTTGTGTTGCGTGTGCAATTATGAGAAGAGCTCAAGAACGAAACAACCAAACTCAGCCAGATATCTGCAGACAATGTTTTGAGGAATATTGCTGGGATGGCTCAACTACAAATACTGAACCGGGTATCAATTTCACTCTTACTGGCACTACAAATACTGATGATGGAATGGATGAATCAGAAATCAATAGCGCTGCCGGATTATTTATCAATTACAACAGATCCTTCATTTTAATCCAATTCGTCTTCTTGTTCTTTGTCTATTTTGGTCTTTTCAATTAGTAAATATTAAACTACCAAATTTTCTCTATCAATATCTATTTCATATATTTGATTCATGCCGTTCTGGACGTTTTCTTTGTTTGTTTTGTATTTTTTAAAAGATTATTTCTATGAATATATCTATCTTTATCTTGGTTTTATTTTCTATATGTTTTTCGTTGTTTTGATTTTGTTTTTTCTTTGGTTATTTTCTTTTCTTTTCAAATATTATGTTTTCAATTTACACTATTAAAAATTCACCTCGTTTTTGTAGACAAATTGGAAAAAAAAAAAAAATCAAAAACATTCAAAAGAAAAACCAATGATCCAACTATTTCTCTCACTAACTCAAACATCATTATCTGAAACTTAAAATAAACAAGCTAAAAACTGAACTTTATAGAACTAAAATATGAGAGCTATTTCAAGTCAAGCGAAATAATAGTCTAAAAGACAAAGATTTACAACAACAACATTGAAAAAGTATAAAAACCAATCACCTGAAAATTATCTTGTTCAAATTGTCTTGTTCAAATCACTACACCATCTAATATATAAAATACCCAAATCCTAAAAGCAACAAAGGTAGAAATCAATATCCACAACCTCAACAATTGCAGTATTCGCTATTTGCTTAAAATTCAGTGGTTGTGGATCTGTGCCAAAATAAGGTTTTGCATCCGTGTCTCTGGAAACAGCTTCGAGTAAAAACCGTTTTTTCTCGGTTTGGCCTTTGAACCTCGATTCACGCCTTCAAGGTCGAGCCAGAGTGAAAATACAGGTGCCAATAAGTCAATTCTCTGTTCATTAATAACTGAAACTCACACAGGCACTGAGGCTGCTGCACGAGCTGAAGTAGAGATACTCTGACTATCTCTAGCTGCTGGAAATGCTGGTGGTTCACATGAGATGGATTGATGCCTGGGCCTGATATCAGTGATGGCGGTGATAATGGTCTTTATATCGATATGAATCCAGATCGAGCTTACAATCTTGTATACGTTGGTCTCGAGATGTGATGCCAGTTCTATTGTTTCCACGGTTGTTAAAAGCCCAACAACAACAACAAAAACACCACCAGAATCAAAATTTAACTGGCGATATTCAAGGCTCTGACTGAGCACTTTATCGCATCAACACCCACCAACATTTCCAAGCCAACGATGCCCAATCTGACTCCTGATATGTTTGCCCATTTTTCACATTGAATGTTTGCAGTTATCAATCCATAGTTTCTAATGTTCCCAAACAGCTCCCACTTTTCCAGTTCGGGTTGAGTGGGAGAGTATAATAGACAATGATTAGCATCTAGCATATGATACACAGAGTACCAATACATATACCGGTATATATACTGGTATATATACCAGTACATAAAACGATATTTCTTAGTACTGATTGTTTGTATCTTGGACTATCTTGAATTCTGACCTTAGCTATTTTGCTCAGTTCCTCTTTCGACTCACAATAACTCTCTCTCCAACTTTCTAAAATGTCTGATGTTCAAACCCAGCTCTCCAAAAACAACCAGATCAAAAACAAAATCAAATCCTCTTTCGCTTCATGGCTAGCTGCTGCTGCTGCGGCAGGCCAGCTCATTAAGAAGGGCTACAAGAAAAGTACACACTACACTGCTGTTGGTGCCAAAAAGCTCTACAAGCCCATCGACGCTGTTGTTCCATCTAAACAGACCCTCAAGAGCTCCAAAGACTTCCTCTTCAACAAGTATCCCAGTCTTTACGATGGCTATCGCAGGGTCCCCAACTCCAAGGTCATCAGAGAGGGCATTGTGAGCTGGTTCAAGCGTTACAAAGATGTTTGTCTCGACTACATCAAGAAGTTCTTGTCTGGCCCCATGGGATTCATCAAGATCATCTTCAGTCTCATTGTCGCTGAAATGGCAGACAACAAAGACTTGATCAAGAAGCTCTCAGCCAAAGTTCCCAAGCAAGTTAAGGACTAGTTGTGCGATCTGTCCACAAGCTGCTGATTTGTTTCTTTTACTGTTTTCCTATTTTAAGATCTGGCTATACTGCTATTATATTGATTTGATTCACCTTACTTTTATTACTATATTGACTTTCAGTTTATTTCACCCATCACAGACTTTCATAATGTGTTTGTTTCTACTCTTCTCTTAAATATAACGACTTTTTACTCTAGGTTTTTTTTTTTATTTTCTCTTTTTCAGTTTATGTACGAAATTCAACGATTTCTTGACATGATTTACGTATTTCAAATGAGACAGTAAGAGAGTTGATAATAGTCTCAAAACCCAGATTATATCCCTGCCCAAAACGGTAGTAGTACCATTTAGATGGTGTTCAAGTCACGCTTTTATGGATTTCTTTCTAAAAAACGAAATAGAAAAGATTCGATTCGAATTCCTGGAAGTTTCACAACAAGAAAGATGTCTGGTCGAGGTGCTGCTGCTGCAAATGTTTTAGTTAAGTTGATAGTGGGTGCTGGTTCTGCGTCTCCTTCTCCTCCTGTTGGGCCTGCGTTAGGTTCCAAGGGTGTTAAGGCTATTGATTTTTGCAAAGAATTCAATGCAAGAACCGCTAATTATGAACCAAATACTCCAATACCTGTAGTGGTTACAATTAAACCTGATAGATCTTTCACTTTTAATTTAAAGTCTCCTTCGACCACTTATTTATTAAAAAAAGCTGCTGGAATAGATAAAGGTGCTGGTAAAGTTGGTTTAAACGATCCCAAAATTGGAACTGTGTCTTTGAAACACATTTATGAAATTGCAAAGATTAAAAAAACTGATCAGAACCACGAAAATTTGAACCTTGAAGCTATCTGTAAATCAATTATTGCAACTGCTAAATCAATGGGTGTAGAAGTAAAACCATAGGTTTAAATAGCTTTTACTAATTAAAATTGGTGACAATGAATTTCACTTTCCTTTTTTCCTTTTGCAGTTTCGGTTATAATCTTTTTTTTGTTTTTTGTTTTTTGTTTTTTGTTTTTGCATCTTAAGATTTTTAATTTATTGGTATCACTTCAAAAATTTCTTTTTCATGTATATATACATTTTTAATAAAGCATCCAAATGGATTCTATTTAGATTCAAAGTATTTTCAGAATAGATCAATTGATCGGTATAATAGTTTATTCTTGACACAATGTCTTTACAATTAATATATTTATAATAATATGATTTTGAATATTAAATGAGGGAGTTGACCAACCCATGTTTATCTAAAGTAAAGTTAATAAAATATCAACAAAAGGTGTAAGTGTATTAATGTATGACCATGAACTTTAGTAATTCAATGAATATTCAAATAAAAGAAAATAATCTAAAAAGTACTCAAATATAAAATTAAGAAATAAAAAGTTCCAAAAAAATTAAAGAATAAATAAATGTAAAAAACTGAATAATATAGAAAGGCTTGTTTGTATAAAATTAAAGGTAAAAGAAAATGACAAAGTTTAAACAGAAAAGAAACTCAACTTACTTTTGAAAAAAGAATGCAAAAATAAAGTGGAAAAACAACAACAAAATAAATGAATTAAATTTAAATGAAAGTAGATAATAATAAATAATCATAGAAATCAATGACTTTAGGTTTGGTGTATTCTGTATTTAGAATAAAAAAAATTGAAAAGAAAAGTAATGAGTTTTATCCAAAAAATAATAACATAAAAAAATGGAGAAAAAAAATATAACAAAAAGGAGGGTTTTCAACGAGAATAAAACATATATAGAGTAACATAAATATAATGAATAAGGAAAAAGAGAAGATTTAAGAAAATTAATAAAAAAAAACAAGGTTTTGATTCTAAATTCTTAAGGTTTGTTGTAGTAATTTTTTTTTGTCTCTAATTTAAACAATTATATTATTGATTACATAACAACAGTTTTATTTACCACCATTTTTCTTTTTCTCTAAAAATGCGATATGAGCTTCACTTTGATCAACCACAGTATGTTCATGATTTTTGGCTTTAATTAAGTCGGAAGTTATTATTTCCGATGAGTATTTATTTGTATTAACTTTTTCAAATTCCTCTTCATAGTGGCACATGTCTATTGAATTGAACCAATGGTCTTTAAATGCTTCGTCAATGTTGCAACGACAAGCAGGTGCTAGTTCGACCATTTTACTTAACAAAGGACGGCAATATTCCGGCATAGCGTTGAGTAACCTCATTTCACCGGTGATGTTTGGTTTATGTAGTTTTTGGCTAATTGCGGGTTTGATATCAATTGATTGTTGTATTTGAGGGTTTTGCAACTTATTTTTAGAATTGATAGGAGGATTGTTGAATCGAATTGGAGGAACAGCTTTCTTGTATTGATTATAAGAAGTAGATTCGGGAGTAGTTAGAGGAGATTCAGAGTTTGTACCCGAAGTGGAATTATTTGAATAGGGAGGAGAAGGATTTTTATTGGCAGCCATGGAGCCTTGTAGTAAGGAATCAATATTGTCGTGTTTTTGGTTTTGATGGAGAAAGTTTTTATTTGATAAAATTTGGTTATCTAAATCGCTTGAACCAGATTTGATAGTTTCCAAGGGAGAACCATTTGATTCAAAGTAGGAAGGAGGAGGAGGAGTCTTTTTCAATAGGTTGTTTAAAGACTCACCGCCATTTCTTGTTGCAAACATTTTGAAGGATTGGTCGGTTAGTTTTGGGACTTTCCAGGGGAATTTTCTTAGCATCATACAAGAGAAGATCATTGCAGCGGACCAGATATCTACAGCTCTCGGATCATATTTTTGAAATACCACCACTTCAGGAGCCAAGTAAGGATCTGAGCCAACAATACCACTTGCTTCAACGATGGTAGTTGAAAAGGGGTAGGAAAAGACAACAGCTGAGCCAAAGTCGATAATTTTTAGAATACCATTGCTCATTATACAGCAGTTGTCTAGTTTCAAGTCTCTATGGGCAAGACCCATGTGGTGCAAGTATCTTATACCAGATAATAGTTGTTTGAAGCAGCAGTTAATTTCATTGACGGACATTTTGCCGGACATGACGATTGCGAATAGATCATAGTCGCAGTACTCCATAACTTGAAAGATTTTATCGTGTTCGTAGCAGATTTCGATTGTTTGAATGACGTTTTGATGGTTTAGAGTGGAGCCAATGCAATATTCCCCAGTGATCTTTTTTGCATAGTCTCTTTTGGATTCATTTGTAAATCTTGATCTGAACTCTTTGACGGCAAAGATTTTGCGATCGTAGTTTCTGCGAACGAGTTTAACGTTACCACCCGCTCCAGCACCGAGGGAATCACCAATTCTGCCATAACGCTTTGAGAAGGGTAGTTGTTGCTGTTGCTGTTGGAAGAATTTGTCTTGGTTTGGGTTGCTGTATTGGATCATGAAGTCGTTGTTGTTTATACTTATATTGTTGTTATTGTTATTGATTAGATTGTTGATTGGGGAGTTGTTTAGTAGAGATCTGGCGGAGGAGACGGAAGAAGAGTAGCTATTTGGTTTTAGAGAGGATTCTTGGTCTTTGATTGGATTTGTGGATCGTTTGAAGAATCTTTTTAGGTCAGCCATTGAGGAATGTCTTGAAAAGGTGGAAAAATTGGAAAAGCTCTTTTTTTTCAGTAATTGGTGGTCGTTGTTTATTGACTTGTCTGAATTCGAGTCTGGGTTTGATTTGTTGTTGATTATGAAGTGAGGGTTGTTTGAGTTGACGTTGATGCTGATGTTGTTGTTGTTGTTGTTGTTGTTGCTGTTATTGATTGAATTGATTTGAGTATTGTTTTGAGTATTGTTTTGAGCATTGTTTTGAGCATTGTTTTGGTTGTAGTTGTAGTTGTTTAGGAGAGAAGATAGGTTGAGATTCAGAGAGGATGGAGAGTAGTTTACGCCATTGTTGTATAAGGAGCCAATATCCAAGGAGGAGTTTTTCCTTGAGGATCTTGAGAAGAAGTTACTTAGAGAGGAATGAGAGGCACTTCGTGAGTTTAGTTGAGCATTTGTTGGTAAGGCGATGTTGTTGTTGTTGTTGTTGTTGTTGCTGCTGCTGTTGTTATTGTTGAGAGATATGTTGATGTTGTTTTGGTTTTTATTTTTAATTTTATTTTTGGATTTGTTTTTGAGTAGAGAATTGTTGAGACTGTTTGTTAGATTACTTATATTTTTTGAGTTTATAGTGTTATTATTGTTGTTGTTTTCAGGGTCATTGGTGGAGTTGTTGAGAAAGTTGTTTTTATTGAAGTTGATTGTTATGTTACTGATGTTTGCAATGTTGGAAGAATTGTTTTCTAGTTTGTAAGTTTGATGGATGGAGTTTATTTTTGATTTTGTTATTATGAATCTTGAATCAATTGAGTCAGAATTGAGGATTTTAGGGGAGGTGATTTGGTTAGATTGAATCAAGTTTCCATTTGAGGGAAGATCGAAATTGTAGAGGGAGTTGTTTGTGGAGGAGTTTAGTGAGGTGAGAGAGTCGTCTTTGTTGCCAGAGTAGGGAACCGAGAATGGGATTGTGGAAGATAAGGGAGAAGAAGAGTAAAAGTTGTTGGTGTTGTTATTGGTGTTGTTATTGGTGTTGTTATTGGTGTTGTTATTGGTGTTGTTATTGGTGTTGTTATTGGTGTTGTTATTGGTGTTGTTATTGGTGGTATTATTGGTGGTATTATTGGTGGTATTATTGGTGGTATTGTTGTTGGCTCTGTTGATTGTATTTGGATGGATGTTATTGGATGGATATTTATTTAGTAGCGAGTTGATGTTCAAGCTGTTTGAGTTGGAATTCGAGTTGGAGATGGATTTGGAGGATTTGGAGGATCTAGAAGAGAGCTGTTCAATTATTGTTACGGTTGGTATGTTGTTTTGTGATTTTTGAATAGTATTATTATTTTTATTACTTTTATTATTTTGGAAATTATTATTATTTTGGAGATTATTGGGATTATTATTGGCGGAATTATTATTAATGTTGGTAGTGCTGCTATTTTGATCAAGACTGGGATTGATGGTGAGAATGCTTTGTTTGAGATTGTCAGCAGAGGAAATGGAGGAACCAGAATTATCGGAAGAGGTCATTGGGGATAATTGGTCAATTGAAATAGTGGTTGTAATGATGTTTTGGTTAATATCGCTGGCGATGTTGATATTGCTGTGGTTGCGATTGAGAGAGGAGGGATTAGAGTGAATTAGCGCCATTTAGTAGGGCATGGTATAAGAAGAGAAGAAGAAGCAAGCAGCAGAGCAGTGCAAAGACTATCGTGTTAGTGGATGGGATGAGAGCTGTGGATATCTCTGAGTATCGCTGAGTCTTTTGGCTGTGGATGAAACTGATTATAAGATAGGATTTTGTTGGAGATGGTCGTGATGTGGGCTTCTTTTCCTTTGCTGCTCTGGAAGCTTTGGGCTTTCGCTCAGAGATAAATCTCCCGCTGCCTGGCGCACGCTGCTCCTGTCCACCTGGCGCTTAGGCCCGCTCGCTCCCCGGACAGCCCCCTTCCTATCTTGCTGCTCCCGTGCACAGAGATAGGGGGCCCTGTGCGCCCGATCGCAAACAAGGTTCAGCTGCAGCCGGAGTTCTATCCACGTGTTGTGCCCTCTGTCAGCGGGCGGCGTGAGACGGGGCTGGCAGAGAGTTGGCGTGTTGGACACCTGAAATTCCCCAGCAATGCGGGACGCGCGCAAGCAAGCGAGATAAGAGCAGCTGGTACCGTGTTGCAGCACGCAGCTTGCGCAGTGGAGCAACACTGGAAAGATGCCGAACAGCTCAAGCTGGCGCTGCAGCTCTAGCTGACAATGTATTTGTAGTGGTAGCTGTAGATGTAACCGCTGAGGAGCGCGCTGTTGTGGGACGTGCTGCTGGTGGTGCCAACGCGGTGCTGGTTGCGCTTGGCGATCTTGAGGGACGCGACGATGGGCTTGCAGCTCGAGAAAAAGGCATCCACCACGTCTTTGGTCAAGCAGGGATTAAAGTGGAGCGTCTTGGTGAGCACGCTGTGGTCGACGAGAAAACGCTCGTGCTTGACAATGCTCTTGAGGGGAATGCCGTAGAAAAGGTTGAGGAGCCTTCCCAAACAGCTGTGGTGGTTGAAGTGCCCGAGCCGGAGCTGGTGCTCGGCGCGGTTTTTGCTGGCGGCAGAAACGCCAGAGGAGAGACAGAAGTCGCGTTCCTGACTGTAGAGACGGATGAGAGCCTTGTAGCTAAGAAGCTTGTTCATGAGCGCCTCCAAGAGCGAGTGGAAAGAGTTGACGCCGACAAGGAGACAGTAGTTTTTGAGAGTGCTGGAGATTCTGTTGAAGGCCACCATAAACACGTCAATCTGGCTGAGCGCGGCCCCGCTGTGCAACATGTTGTAGTCGTAGATGAACCCATGCAACTGTTTCACCCAGCGCGCAAATTGGTAGCCTTTCTCCAAGATAAATATCCGGATTTCGTACTTCTGGAGGTCCAAGTTGATGAACTCGTTGTTGTATCTTAATCCCTGGAATGGCGGCAAGTCGTTGTAGATAGGGTTGTATAGGTAGCTTTTGAAGAAGAAAGTGGGATTCAAGTCAACATCAACATCAACATCAACATTAACATTATTATTATTATACTCATCGTCTGTGCCTTCATCACTATTATTGTTACTATTATTATAAATCTTGGTATTATTTTTAGTAATACTTTTTAGCAACTCATGGTTGACTGATTTAGGAAACTCCTGCAATATCTCAATGTAAATCGGTTTCCTGTTCAATAAATTGGAGGTATAAGGAGTGAAACTCTCGCTTTTATTATTAACAACGTGGATTTCCTGGGTATCATTGTAGTAGTAAACCAATTGGTATGCTGGGATATTCTTGTTGCTCATCAAACTGTTATTGAAAGAGTTTCGAACAATAGATGTGGCTACATCTAACCTTCTGCTACTTCTATTATAGTAGCTCGAATCTCTTTTTTGGATTGTCGACACACTTTCTGTTTCTGTCCCAGATTCAGTGTCATCATCGTCATAATAATCTTCTTCTTCTTCGTATCCATCCTCTGTATAATAAGACAACGAATCCTCTTTTGAATAGCTGGATTGGGAATATATAGAAGACTTATCATCGTCGTTACCATCATTATTACCACCACTGCTCTCGTTGTTATTCCCCCTATCAACGTTTTTACCAATATTATTAGTAGTATTATTATTAGTATTATTAGTATTATTAGTATCCCCCTTATTGTCTGTTCTAGTAATCACTGGTTGAGTGACAAAAAAGAAATCGTTTTCGTCAATAGAATAAAAGGATTCATTATCATAGCTAGTCATTCTCAATTAAATCGCAGTATTAGATATTGATTACTGGATCTAAAATATACAATATACAATATTCAATAGAAAGTATCAAGTAGCATTAAGTACTTATTTATATCACTTATTACACCAATTAACTCGTCTCGTTTTCGTCCTGCTTGCTTCTCGTTTTACCTAGTCCAATCTCCATTTTATAACTCCAATTCTTCGCCCAATTTGACACTCCATTACTCTTTCCTGCTTCTTTCTATCTGACCCACCATATTATCAATTTGAAAGGAGTAATTAAATAGAGTCAATTTTTCTTCCTTGCTCAAAATAGATCAACGACCAAACCCAAATTCGGAAAACAAAAGTCAAAATTAAAAGAGCACATATTCTACTATAAACTCGACACTAGCAGGACTCGAGCCTGAGACGTACAGTCACAAGACAAGCACCACCTCTGCCTCTTGCCGTAACCACTCGGCCACAGTATTAAATTCAAAGACCCAGCAAGCAACCATTTGTTTCAAACCCCTTCCGCATTGCTTGTCCTCACATGATGCCTGCTTAGTAATTGCCTGGATTCAATACGTCACCATTTCCGTTGTGGAATGTCTCGGCGACTGCGAGCGGAACTAGGCGGAACAAGGGCGGCAGTCCAGGATTTCTCCGTCAACGGTTGGCGCCTTCGAACTCCGTCCAAACAGCGATAAGTGCTGGGAAGGTGCTGCTGTATTAGGGCTGAAATGCTCTTCTTTGCTTATTTTTTCTTACTGCTCTCTTTATCAGCTCCTCCAGCAACATCATCACTTCCGAACAATACACCTCTATTATACACTTACGGTCTTGATGCCTCTTCTGCAATCCTCAATTCTCAATCCTCAATTCTCTTATGCTTCCATCCTTCATGTTTTCCATTTTCTCTTTCTATTTTTTGTTTTTTATTTTTTTCACCTACCCTTTTCAGTTCTAACCTAAACTATATTCATTCTTTTTAATAATATATTTTATTATTTAATGACTATAAAACCTCTAATCTCCTGTTTACTTGTTTTCCTGCTTTGCTAATTTTCACTCTCTGATATACTCCAGTTTCTCCATCCACTCTGCTTTTCATTTCTTTTCTGTACTTTCATTATCTATTTCGTACACTTCTTCTCTTCTCTTCTCTTCTCTTCTCTTCTCTACTTTCGTTAATATACCATCATGAAAGATAATCCCTACTTGGAATCTGAAACTGATAAGGAAAAATCTTTGCGAACCCCACTGTCCTCCACCTCTGATTCCTCCTCTCATTATTCAAAAAACATAGTCTCAAATGAATCTAAAAGTACCACCAATCCTGTAAATACAAATGCAAATGCAAATGCAAACACAGATACAAATATCAACAATACCAACCCCCTCCCCAACACCATCCCTCTTCTGTCTGACGATGAAGCACAATTAAACACCCCCAAACTAGAAAAACACTTTCTAACCTTCCTCCTATCAAAAAACGTTCCTCCAATACCTTCCCCTGATCAAAAAAAACCCTATCCGCAAAACACTTCAAATTGGATATTCTACCTCTTCTTTTGGTGGTTAAATCCTTTAATGCTTGTGGGCTACAAAAGAACTCTCCAAAATGAAGACTTGTGGCATCTAACTGATGACTTTGCTATAAATCCCATGTACGAAAGATTTTCTAAAAACTTGGACATCGAACTAGTCAAATCGAAACAAAAACTATTGAAAAATAATCAAAAAAATCAATCAGAAAACAACACCACCATTCCCGACTCAAATGATAATCATCTGGATGATATCGACTTAAACTCGCAAATATGGAATAAACTAGTCCTCCCAAAGGCCCTCTTCAAAACCTTTAAAAATACTTATTTAATGGCAAATTTCCTATCCTACTTGGCAATGGCTTCGTCTTCTGTTGCACCCTTATTGACAAAAGAACTAATCCAATTTGTCACTTTAAAAGTCATCAACCCTTCTCTTCCAACCGGAAAGGGCATCGGTTATGCCTTTGGCATCACTGCCTTGATGTTTGTGAATGGTCTTTTTTTCAATCATATGTTTCATCTCTCAATGACAATCGGTGTCCAAGTTAAAGCTGTTCTCATAAAAGCTCTTTTCAATAAATTTTTCAAACTAGATCCAAAAGCAAGACACAAATTTCCTGATGCTAAAATCTCCTCTCTAATGGGCACAGACCTTAATAGAATCGATCTAGCTATTGGTTTGCAACCCATAGCTGTATCCTTTCCAACTGTCGCCATCTCCCTCGGTTTATTACTACACTACATTGGTGTCCCAGCTTTAGCTGGCTTTGGTCTCTTCTTCTTTGCTGTGATCCTACTAGGCTCAGCGGCCACCGTTCTTATCAAATACAGAAAGGAAGTCAATAAATGGACCGATTTAAGAATCGGCTCAATAAGAGAAGTTCTAACTTCCATCAAAATGATCAAGTACTATGCCTGGGAACAACCCTATAAAGACCAAATCGCTTACCGAAGAACAAAAGAAATGAACACTATTTTCAAAATCCAGCTCTTCAGAGCCGTTTTCACTGCCGTTGCTCTTAATTTACCTCAACTATCCGCCATGATCTCGTTCATTGTTGTCTTTCAAACAACCACTGGAAAATCTCCTGCCACCATTTTTGCTTCGGTCACTTTGTTCAACGTTTTGGCGCAAATCATCTTAATGTTCCCAATGTCGTTATCCACTTCTATCGATGGCGCTGTGGCTTTAAACAGAGTATCAGAATTCTTAGCTGCCTCCGAAGTGGTAAATAACCCACTAGATGAAATTGAACAAGAAAAATTAAATCATTTTGTTCAAGATCACTCAATGGCTATTCAAGTCAAAAATGCAACCTTTAAATGGGAAACAATAGAGCTAGACGAAAAGGAAGTCACCGAAGATGAAGATAAAGATAGAAAAAACAAAAACAAAAAGGACAAGAAAAACAAAAAAAAAAAAAAAAAAGATATTGATAATGATAATGATAATCACAATAACAATAACAATAACAAACATCATCTAAATAACATCAACTCCCATGTCTCAAATCAACCACTTATTCCCGGTGAAAAAATCATTGACTCAACCACTTTTAAAGGTTTATTGGATATAAATTTAAACATCAAAAAGGGTGAATTCATTATTGTCACTGGTTTTATCGGTTCTGGCAAATCTTCCTTATTAGCCGCCCTTGGTGGTATAATGAAAAAAAAACAAGGCGTCTTGAAAGTTAACGACTCTTTATTATATTGTGGCTCCCCATGGATTCAAAATGCCTCTGTTAAAGAAAACATCACTTTTGGCGAAGAATTCAATCAAGAAAAATACAAAACCATTATTGATGCCTGTGCTCTACGCACTGATTTGAAAAATTTACCCGCTGGAGATAAAACAGAAATTGGTGAAAGAGGTATCACCTTGTCTGGTGGCCAAAAAGCAAGAATCAGCTTGGCAAGAGCTGTTTATCATGATGCAAATATCATATTGTTAGATGATGTTTTAAGTGCTGTCGATGCCAAAGTTGGCAAATTCATCATGAACTCTTGTTTGTTAGGTCTATTGAAAGATAAAACAAGAATCTTGGCCACTCATCAACTATCTTTAATCGACCACGCCGATAGAATCATTTTTTTAAACGGTGACGGCAAAACCATCACTGGTACAATCGATGAAGTTAAAGCTCAATCTACTGATTTTGTAAATTTAATGAAATATGCCACAGAACTTACAAACTCTACAAAAATCAAACAAGTAAAAAGCAAAAAAAACACTGATTTGGAAAAAAATGAACTAGCAAGAAAACTAACAGTTAACGACGGTCATTTAATGGAATCTGAAGAAAGAGCCATAAATAAAATTTCATTGAAAGTTTATTTGCATTATATTCAACAAGGCTCTGGAGTATTTAAAATTTTTAGTTTGCCTCTTTTCATTCTCCTAGTTTCACTACAAACTTTCGGCAGTTTATTTTGTACAACTTGGTTATCATTTTGGACTGAATATAAATTCTCTGGCTCGGATAATTTTTATATTGGTATCTATATTATGCTTAATTTTGCTACATTGATTTTTTCGGTTTGTGCATTTTCTTTATTACTTTATATTACAAATACTGCCGCTAAAAGATTAAATGTTAGAGCTGTTGAAAAGATTTTGCACGCTCCAATGGCATTCTTAGATACAACGCCAATGGGAAGAATTCTTAATCGGTTTACAAAAGATACAGATGCATTAGACAATGAAATTGGTGATCAAATTCGTTTGTTTATTTATACTTTTTCATCATTTATCGGTATCATCATTCTTTGCATTGTTTATATTCCATGGTTTGCTCTAGCTGTTCCTGTTGTATTTTACTCTCTTATCGCTTTTTCTTCATTTTATCAAGCCTCTGCTAGAGAAATCAAAAGACTAGAAGCAGTTAATAGATCCTATGTCTATAATAATTTTACCGAGAGTTTAGAGGGTAAAGATACAATTATGGCTTTTAATACTGCTGATAGGTTTAAAGCCAAAAATGTGAAATATATTGACATGATGAATGAAGCTTATTATATCACTGTCTCGAACCAAAGATGGTTGGGTGTAAATTTGGACTTCTTATCATGTGGTTTGATTTTATTAATCTCATTGCTATGTGTTACAAGACAGTTTGATATTAGTCCGTCTTCTGTCGGTTTATTATTATCCTATATTATCTCAATTGGAGCCTTGTCTTCTTTACTTGTTAGGACTATGACTCAAGTTGAAAATGAAATGAACTCGGCAGAAAGATTGTCATTTTATGCCTACGATTTACCCCAGGAAGCACCATACCAAATAACGGAACATACACCGCCACCCAAATGGCCATCAAAAGGCCAAATTGAGTTCGATAATGTTGATATGAGGTATAGACCTGGCTTACCATTAATCTTGAAAGATATAAATTTCGTTGTCAAGGCAGGTGAGAAGATTGGTATTTGTGGTAGAACGGGTGCTGGTAAATCGTCGATAATGACTGCGTTGTACAGATTATCAGAGCTCGCTGGTGGCAGAATACTCATTGATGACATTGATATCTCCAAGTTAGGATTAAAAGATTTGAGAAGCAAGTTATCAATCATTCCACAAGATCCTGTGTTATTCAAAGGCACGATCAGAAGCAACTTGGATCCGTTCAATGATAGTTCGGACGATGATTTATGGGATGCGTTGAGAAGAAGTGGATTAGTTTTGGCTGATGATCTTGAAAATATCAAGAAACAGAAAATGGATGGGGATAATTTGGAGAGTATCAACAAATTTCATCTAGATCAACAAGTTGAAGAT